CGTCGTGACTGGTGGGAGGGGCCGACCGGGGGCTGTACAGTCTCTTTAACACAGACTATTTTCATTATGGGAACCTGTACACATGCGCTTTCGCATGTGTACAGGTTCGGAGGCAAGACCAATCACCCTGCACAAGGAGAGAAGCAGTGAATGGTTTTTATTACAGGAGGGGGCGGAGACAGGACCAGTCATCCTGCATAAGGAGAGAGAACAGCAGTAAGCGGTCTTTATTACAGGAGGGGGCGGAGACAAAACCAGTCTCTGTGCTTCTCTAAGCAATGCAGGCACGTCGTGGCTGGTGGGAGGGGCCGACCGGGGGCTGTGCAGTTTCTTTAACACAGACTATTTTCATTATGGGGAACCTGTTCACATGCGCTTTCGCACATCACACACCTGTGTTAATGGGCCCTTAATAATACAACAAACCGAATGATTCATTTATAAAATGATACTTGCAAGCCTTCACTCTCTGTGGACTTTGCTGTGAGTGACGGGTCAGAGTTTATGCCTGCAAACGCGAGGGATTCATCTAAAACCACGAGCAGAACGGCGGCGTGGGCCTTAGGAGATGGAAACGGAGTGACACGGAGACACGGCCTGTACACGCGGCTGGAGGTATACGTCTGAAGGTGCCCATACATCTTACGATTATTGGCCGATTTTCGTATGCGGTCGCGTTGTCGTCCGATATTCGTAAGGTTGATGGGCAGTGTACAACCGCAAATACTGTACAATCGATCGACTTTTGACTAACCAGCAGGTTAGAAAACTTCGGTCGATCGTACGATTTTCGCAAGGTTGGTGGCGTTTCCGTACATCAAAATTCGTACGATCTACACTGCACATGTGTAGACGAAAATACGTGCGATCGATTACCGCAATTCATTCAGGTGCTTTCTTCTAATTACCGCTGATCCAACCTTGCGATAATCGGGGCAGGATGGGGCCGTGGTACGACAATCGTACAACAGTTCGATCATCGGACGCAACTCGCAAGGTGTATGGGTAGCCTAACACAGACTATTTTCATTATTATTAGAAGTAACTTTTGCGACTGGTGCTGTTTGCCCACAATGATTTTTTATTGGAGTTCAGCTTTAAAGACAGTTGGTTTAATGCTTATGTGCAGATCAAAGCTTGTCCTTTCATATGTCTATCCAGTCAGCTCTTGCAAGCTTGCTAATTATTTTTTGTATTAATTGACTCATTTTAATTTAGCTGAGGGAGGGACCCAGCAGGCTCCACCCACCACAGGCTTCCTGCAGAAAACTAAAGGAGGGGTGGAGACAAAACCAGTCATCCTGCACAAGGAGAGAGAGAAGCAGTGAGCGGTCTTTATTACAGGAGGGGGCGAAGACAAGACCGATCACCCTGCACAAGGAGAGAAGCAGTGAGTGGTTTTTATACAGGAGGGGGCGGAGACAAGACCAGTTATCCCGCATAAGTAGAGAGAACAGCAGTAAGCGGTCTTTATTACAGGAGGGGGTGGAGACAAGACCAGTCACCCTGCACAAGGAGAGAGAGAAGCAGTGACTGGTCTTTATTACAGGAGGGGGTAGATACAAGACCAATCACCCTGCAAAAGGAGAGAGAGAAGCAGTGACCGGTCTTTATTACAGGAGGGGGCGGAGACAAGACCAGTCACCCTGAACAAGGAGAGAGAGCAGAAGTGACCGGTCTTTATTACAGGAAGCTCCAAGTCTCACACTGGATTACTGCACAGATCTGGAAGAAATACACAAAGCTCACCGAGATTCCAGGAAGAATACACATGGCTCTCGTATAAGTTGTTACATACAAAATAGGTTAATAAGTTTGTATTGCACACAGCTTGTGTTGTTAACATGAGTAACTAGCTTGGGGCATGCAATGATTACAGAGGAATGCGTGGAACATTGCACACTTCATCCTGGGAGCAGGTCAGACTCAGCCGGTCCGATAAAGGTGCCGCCTCCCTGTGGGTTTGTTTGCAATACAAGAGATAGAACAGGATATTCTGGCCCAGGACCGGACAGGACCAGATAGTAACTGTGCATCTAACTAGATCACTTATTGTGCTGCGTCCCCCTCCCCCCCCCGCCCCCCCCAGCTACAGACACTTATTTGGGTGCGTACCCTTCTGTATATTGCCAATAAGTATATTCTGCATAGGTCAAATGTTAAAGGGTAACTCCACTCAAAACATATTGGTGTATGGTGGAACAGAGCATGGTTCATTCACCCGCTGGGACTTTTCCATCGTCTGGGACTCCAATACCCAACAGCTGTGATTACTCAAGTGAAAAGGAATAATGATCATGCACGGTCTAGATTAGTGGTTCAGAATTCACCATAAGGGTGCCCAAACACCTTACGATAATCGTACAGAAATCCCGCGATCGTACGATTATCGTAAGGTGTGTGGAAGCTGTGCGACTTTAAACTTACGAACATGTTCGAAAACCCGCCGAGCATCGTACGCTGTTCGGCGGGTGTGTAGCATGTTCGTGAGATAAAAGCCGGACGGGCCGGTGTGCGCAAGCACGCAAGCGCACACTGCCCGTTCGGCATTGCAGTCATCGGAAGCCACGACCTCA